TGATTGTACTTTAATTTTATTGTGTATTTGAGTGAAAATATGTACTGAATTACAGCTGAATTTTTAAAACTATTCATGTTATAACACTTGCAATTTTTACTCTTCAAGGCTGCATAGTTATAGGATCAAAAAATGTGATGACAAGAAAAGGTTAATTTATTTTGCTCAAGAGTACCTAGATGTATCTCTAAAATGTACATCTATTTATCTAATACCTATTCTTAATAAAAGCTAATAAATTATTTTAGAATGTAAACAACTCTTGCTGAAACATTAAAAAGAATTCTTTTTTATTCTCTTTTAATTTTAGGATATTTTTAATATTTTTTTAATAAAAAATGTTATGTCGTCTTTAAAGATTAATATTGATAATTCAGTATAGACATTCACCTAAGCATAATTATTAAGAAATTAAAACTTTAAACTTTAAAATTTAACTTGCAACAAATATATTAATTGTATTTAGCAACCACCGCACAGAAAGTTCAAATACAGACCTGTCGTACTGATGAAAGGTCACCTCTGATGAACAGAATCACATAAATTACAAAATTTAATTCGCAGAAACCGAATATATGGTTAGTCAACCCAACATACACTGGTGAAAGTTAAGACAGCCATATGCAAATTAAACATATTCCTCAAAATAAAAAGTGAATGTTACTGATTTATGAATTTACCAATAATTTCTAATCAGTTTCAGATTAACTTACATATATCCTAAGAAATTTGTTTAAGTATTCTATTTACATTGCTAGTCCCAAAGTAATCAAGTGACCAATATTTCATTTATCAATTTTATAATTTCTAATCAAATAATTCATTTTGCAAGTTAAATTGTGCTAAATTATGATACTTTCTACTCTATTATTGTGATACTTAAGTTGTAAATTACCTGTGTACATTCATAAACCAGTTAATAGATCACTTTACTTTAAACCAAAGTCTAATTGATTTTAATAATTGTTATCACTTACCTTTGTGATTGTTTCATCCCCTTGTGCACTAAAGGCATTGTCTACTCAATCATGTAAATCCTTCCTCTAGTGAATGATACTACGTTTTCCGTTCTAACTACATCAAAAGGGACTTTCTTGCTGCTTCTTTTTCTTTTTGAGATACTGCCAAAGTGAAAGAGAACTAATGAGAGTGATGACATCCAATGTGCAGTACCCCAAGTTTGTGTAAAGTTCCTGCAAAATGCTTCGTCATATAGTCTGTATAGTAGAGAACAAAATAAAATGTTAAAAAGTAAGAAATGTCAAGGGCCACACAAGTTTTTATTACCAATGAAGTTTTAGGCACCAGCCACACTTACAAGTAATTTAAATGAATCGTGTTAAGACCTCTTAGATCAGAAACAAAAATCTGTAACCAATTTTTCAATCACAACCGTCACATCACGAAATTATTATCACAATTAACTCAAAAAAATTGCTTTTGAATTTTGATTATCCATATTTCTGTTTTTCACAAAATATACTCCAGTAGTTTTTAATAATGAGAGTAATACAACTGTATATCATCATTATCAATCACTGCCACTGGCATTACTATGATAATGATTCCCCAATGGTGCAGGCGTATTAATATCAACGAAAAATTAAGTGTTATATGCAATTATTACCAATAAATAATATAAAGACAAATTCTGCTTACCATAATAGCTCAGTTTTGAAGCACAAATGACGTGCAATGGAATGGCATCACTTAAATCATACCTTCAGTAGTTTCTGAATAAATCTACATTGCATTCCCACCTGCATCCGAAACAATTTTCCTTTTTTTCTAACAAATCTAATGAAAGCACAATTATGCTACTTATTCAGAAGCCGCAAACGACGTACAATTTATTTATAAAATTTAAATCAAATTATTTATGTAGGGTGTCAGTTTCATACGACTAAAATTGACTCATTTATGACATATGACTTCAAAAATCTATGCTACAAATGAACTACAACCATAGATTAATAACTACAACACAGCCATAGATAAGCACGGATAAACACCATAGATTAGATAAACACAGTAACCGTAGATCTTAATTTATGGATGTAATCATACATATGGAAATATGAAGTATAAATTTACGGGGTACGATCGAAAAGTTATGTCCGCAAAGTGTCTACAGGAGTAAGTTTATTTGCAGATGCTTAATTTGACAATTCCAAAGTATGCTGACTAGATTTTCATTTAAAAATGAAAATATTAAAGGACTAAGAAGGGAGAACTTCTAAATTTGATTTCATTCAAGCAAAAAAAATATTGCCTCCGTTCTAAGTTAGTGAGGAAATCCTTTTTTCATAAACAGCCCAATAAAAGCCTGTTCTTTCAAATTGTTTTGATTGTGAATGTAATGTTTTACTATAATATACATATATAACAGTTATTTTATTAATGACTGTTTATGTAATTTCAAAATAATAAAAATGCAACTGTGCATAAAAGGAAAATTAAAAATTCTAAAAATAAACCATTTGTATAAAGTATTAAGGATACTACAAATATTAGTGAAAAAAAAAACTAATCCAAAGTTACATATGAATAATAATGTACCTACTACAAAATACATGATTAAATTTTTCTGTTTCAGTATTTTAGGTTTTTATAGTGTTATTTTTAAGATCCTATTATCATTTTTGTTAGTTTTGTGCAAAACCATTCCTTACAATCACTTGATTATGGAGCAAAAATTGAAACATCTTTATTTTTTAAACAATTTTTTAACCTCTGAATTTTTGTTTTAAAACTAAAAATACATATTTAACTGTTAAGCATGTAATAATAAATATTATCAAAAATCAAACCGATAAGAATTAATGTTTCAGAACTTTTTTTATATTTTATACCTACTTACCTTTTAATTATTTCGTTCCCACTTATCCTCCTTTTTTTAAATATAGATATTTTTTTTTAAGTTTTAATGTCTTTTTATTGAAATAACATTTCATACAATAAATAGGAAAGTTCATACCCTAAAACAGATTTACGGTATTTTATAATACACAGAGTTATATCTGATCGATAAAGGGATGAATTACTTACCTAAATTCAAAATTATTGCTTATTATGTACCCATAAAATGTAAAATTGAAGTAAATAAATATATGAAAGCATTCTTATGCTTTGTTTGATTTTTCCTTTGATTTGTTTTATAGTATTTAGAATGAATGTAAGTATATAAAGTAAATTTCAACTTCCACATCGGAAGAAATTAAACACGGAATACGATGGAACACAGAAGACAAGGAATAAGAAGTGAAAACAACCAATTAGCTTTGATATAACTTCATGAAACTATTATCAATAGGTACCTCGTAAGAAAATGTCATTTTTTTTGTATGATTAAATTTTAGATTACGATTATGTTCGATTTATCGTACCAATTTTTATTTAGCCATTCTCATCTAAAAATGAAAAATTGAATCCTTATAGGAATAGGTACCCATTCTATCTGGAATTATTGCTTCACAAACTTAATTTCATCGTTATACTTTAGAAGTATTCATGGTTCGTTAATAATTATAAATTAACTGGCTGGTTGTTAAGCTTTGCAATAGTATACTGATTTGCAACCTTTAGCGTTCGTATTTGTTCCTATTTTATTAATTTTAGTTGCATATTTATTGAAACACTGAAAGACCAAAGTACCATTTCTACTGATAAAGAAAATAAACAAGTAGCTTCGTAAAAGATGTTTCCGAAATTGTATAAAAAGGTAATTCATCCCTCTACTTCGAATTCGAAGACTACGACTCTACATTCAATAAATCAGTGGGTGTTGAGGTAGTCTTTTCGAACTTTTATTCAACTATTACGCTATTCAGACTCATTTTTAAACGGACGATTCGTCGATAACAGTAATTACGCGGTTAGCAAACGGTTTCCGGGTCGTTTTTCCAACCCCGTTACTAATATCATCGTCCTCGTTCACTACTGCATTATTTTGATCTTCGATCGTCCCTGGGGCAAGCTTCGATCTCGCCAGTGACCATCTCCTCCCTTTCCGGTCCAGAATGACCGGCAATTCAGCTATAAGGTTATTCTCAAACTCGCTCAGCATGAGGTAATTCTCGACTTTATTGCAGGAAGTGATGCAGTCGCCAATGTAGTCCAGGTCATCGAGGAGGTTGTCGGGCAGATCCATGTCTGCTATTCCTTCCTCGGAGATGCATGTAAGCTCCTGTTTGTCATTTGAACAGACCATGTTGTCGATGATGCCAGACTGGTGGTTGGACGCGTGGTCTTTGCTTAGAATTACGGCAGCTGCAGGAGTGCCGGAGGTGGCGCCACCGCCTTCATTCTCAGGCTCCTGCGAAAACGACAGTCTGCGTCTTTGGGGGCAGTTTTCGTTCATGCATACGTGGCGAGTGCCATTTTCACGCGTATGCTTGTGACGCGCTATATTCCGACGATGGAGATCGATAAAGAACAACGTTATGCTACCCAGGAGGGCGCATGTCGAACTAAAGTAGTACCCTGTTTTCTCACCGCACTTTTCATTCATATATCCTGCAAGGAAAGAAGGGATCTGAAGGGATCTCATTACTAATTCAAAATTTGTCCCCTTTAAAAATAAAACCCTCCATACGTTTTAGCATGCATTACGTAAGCTGTGTTGAATTCTGATTTGATACATTTTTTAAAGGCGGGGGAAAATGATTGAACAAATGATGAGACCCCCTCCTCTGAAAATTGTCCTGGATGTTTAAAGATAAAAAAAAACCTTGCTTGTACTGATTACATAGGAATAATTTAATTGCACCAATTTCTGTTCTCCTACCTTTCTTTTTAGAGATACAATACGTTGCGCGATGCAACGGTCCGATTGTTTGTTTGCTAAATGTTTCTACCTAACACTACACTAAAAATTAGAGATGTTTCATTCTCGAGGAGGTGGATTTTATATATATGGTGAGACACCTCCTCTAAAATTTTTCCTGTATTTTTAGAGAAAATAATAACATTACCGTTACTGAAACATTATAACTTTTGAAGCAAAATTGTTGTAAACGAGTTCAAACACTCTTCTCAATATGGCGTCAATTTGACGTAAACGCACTGGCCAGAATATTTCGGAACGAATTAACAGTATGGCGTCGATTTATGACGTCATCAGCACTGGTCAGTATGCTGGGTTATAATTCGGAACACGCCCTTGATATCATCATAAAAATAATTATTCTGCTTGATTGTTAATTTTCAATCTTCGAGTAAAACCAAAATTGTTTTTGTGACTTCGACATTTACATTATACAAATATCAAGTATACACACAATAAGTTTCGCAAAACAGATGGGCTCCGTTAGATCTATATTGTTGTGACCAAAATTTTCTGACTTACCTGAAAATGGAACCCCTAAAACTATGGGAATTGCTTGGGAGCACTGCACGAATCCCCATGTTCTTGCAAAATTTCTTGCTCGAACCCTTTCGTATGTGTACATTTTTAAGGAGTAATGATAGCCTCCGCAAAAAATGCCTGGAACCAAATTATTATTTTTTACGAAATAAAAAATCAGATACTGTGGAATTATTGAAAGATTACGTTCACGTCATCGAAATAAATTGTACGAACCAATACGAATGTTTGTAATTTAGCCACTGTTATTAAAAGTACATTGACCTCGCCACCAGGAAACAGAATGTATTCATTTTAAACAGGAGAAAAAAAAATATTTCGAATGGAATTATTCAAAACTTACTCTTTCCCAAATTCAATAAACAATTAAGAATATTAAAAAATAATTACCATAAATCCATGCGAACATCACGTATGCATGGTAATTACCACTAACAACCGTAAATGCTAAAATGGAAAGCCCACACATGAATACTGCCGCCTGGCACAAATATTGTCTTGCGATGCGACATTCAGTTGAATTGTGAAGGACGAGAGTACTGAACACAACGCAACCAAGGGTCCACGCTAAACCCAAATACATCTATAAAAAGAAATGTTGTCACCCAAAAATGCAATAAAAAATACGTACAGTAAAAGCTCTTTACTCTCGGGGTATACGTTCCATAAATATGCCGCGAATACAGAAACCGTGGATATGGAATGGTAATTAGCATGGAATCATAGGGGATGCATTCTAAGGTTCCAAAATAAAACCAATATGTATCAAAATAAAATCAATGTATTGATAAATTCTCAATTAAAATTAATCGTTATAGTCAGCTTCAGGCAAGAGTTTAAAATATTTAGTGATTTTTCCTTGTTTTGAATTTTCAAATTGGTCCACTCGGTTACATCTTTTATAAAAGCTGCCTCGGCACGTACCAACAGCACATAGTCAAAAGATGCCGATACGTTAAGGGGTTTCAGTAGTACACGCGCAGTAGAGTATAAACATGCTTATCGGTTCTAGATATCATGAGTTTAATGTTTGAAACAGAGGTTTGAAATTTTGTAGTAAGATAGATAAAGCTTTGTTCTAAAGTCTGTCGAAGGTCATTTTTTGATTTCTTAATTTCTATTGAAAATACGTGTCCTACAAGAATCATCAACTTTAAGCACTTGTAAAAGCTGTTAATAACCGTAATATTGAAAACTAAAAACATGCAGAGTTACTGTAAACCTTTGTCTGTTACCATACCAAAAATCAGATATTTATCTCGCAACGTTAAATCAGAATGTTTAGAACAGAAACCCACATTTCTGGGTTGCAATTTTTTCATCCGCGAATAATGAAAATGCGAATAAGGAAACCGTGAATAAGGAACTTTTACTGTATCATAATAAGAGAGCATCCAGTTGTCTTAAACATAACTAATTTAATCAGAATGTCGACAAATTCAAAAGTTAAAACATTGGCATAAATAGTATATTCCAAAAATTATGTCTCAAGATAGTTTACTTCAGAATACCTAACGTTAGAAGTTTGCTAAAGCAAAATCAGTAAAAGTATTAAGGACGTTATTTGATCTAACATTTAATTATTATAAAAATATGGACAATTTAGAAGATATATCATTCCGATATTTTATTTTGACACCTTTCTATTTACTACTAGTTATGCTAGAAACTAAGTTGTGGATTCAGATCACTAATCTGCATTGAAAGAAAGATGAATGAAGGGAAAAAAGAAACGATATGATAAAGACTTCTAACTCAGTGACCTAAAAAGGTCGTCGGAGCAGATTCATTAATTTCCACACTTCTTTTATGCAAAACTCTAATTCTATAACTTTTGGATTCTAAGATATTCAGTTTGCCAATTATATCAAAAAATGCTAGTTTTTTAATTATTCTGTAGGATTTTTCAAAATTGTAATGTGATAGGCGACATTTTTGCTATATTTGGACTAACTGCATGGAATTATACTTAAGAGATCATGCTTCTTCTTCAAAAAGAATTCACGATTCAGGGGCGAATCTACTGAAAGGCTTTTTGGGCTGCAACCCAGGGCCTAGTGGATACAAAAGACCCCCAACCTCCATTGATGATGTTGTGATGAAAAGACATTTTTGCAATAAAAAAATCCAATTATTAGGTTGGCAACCTGCGATCAATCAACCCGTGTGCGCGTTTATCGAACGGAGAGGGGAATTCCCCGTCGTCAAAGTGATAAATTGACTTTGTTATTGTTAGAATTGTGTTAAAAATATTTTATTGTCCAATTTTTATCTATACTATATGCCTACATCATTAGAAACAACCGTTTTTTGACAAAATGGTAATTAGTTGATTAATAAGGTAGGGCCTTAAGTAGTATTAGCCCAGGATCCCACAAATTCATGATCCGCCCCCGTTAGGATCTCCCTATCTTCTGCTGTAGTTCGTTATGCATGATTCGAAAAGTTATAAATATGTTACCTGAAGAAGTACTGTGGAATCGCCCAGTCCTTCGGCTTCCGCTTGATATGACAAGTAAAATATGGGTGTGTTGATACCGAACGCGCTAATACCCGTGGATACGAGAAGAATTCGAACAGTCTTGCTTTTAAGCGTGCTAAAATCGAAGAAGGGTATTTTGTCTTCAATTTTGTTCTTGTCTTTTATTTTACGTTTTTGATTTTTAATGTGTAATATTGCCCTTCGTTGTGGATGATAGAGGGACGCGGATCTGTAGAATGTCCCCAGAATGAAGGTCATCGACAGGGCTCCCGTCACTGCTTGTAAACCAAGACGCCAACCAAGGGCTCTACAATCAGACGAAAGTGTTACCTTTTGGTTAGGTACTTACCATTTAATTTTGAATTATTTAACGTAACCTGAAGGATTTATTAGTAAGGACACAAAAATATCTAAAAGATATATATACAGTAGAACCTCTATAACACGAACATCAAGGGAGACACCAAAAAATTCGAGTTATAGAGTTTTCGACTTATGAAGGAATGTGACTTAGGCGGACTTTGATTCGACTTGTAGAGGTTAACATTTGGTGTACTTACATTTTCGACAAATCCTTAAAGTCGATAACTTAGTTTTCTTCGAACTATAGACGTAATATGTCTCAAATTATCGAGTTCTAAAGGTTGTAAAATAAAACATTGCTATGTTCGAGATAGAGAGGTCCAATTTAATTTTTCGAGTTATAGAGGGAAAATATGTACCAAAATGGCTTGCATGGACTCGATGACTATTTCGACTAATAGAGAGTAGAAACTTCGAGTAATGGAGGTTTTGGAGCTTGAAGGGAAGGGAACAAAACATTTTTTAGAGTTTTGGAGGTTTTCCACTTACCGAAGTTCGACTTAAAGAGGTTCTACTGTATCTTATATAATTACATAGTATAGCTGCTATACTAAAAGATATTATTTCTACAAGGAAACTTCTCTGTATGACTATTACGTAAATGTGTTCTCGATTTTCTCCTAAACCGTTAATCAATTTTGGTGAACTGCTTCATATTTAAACATTGATTTTAATGCCAAAAAATTACGTTATCTTTTGTATCGTTTTAATGAATATGACGCCCATCACCTCCACCACATTTAATTGATTTTTTTGTTCTATATAAGGGGCCGTCCATAAAATACGTCACCCATAATTTTACCTTTTTAGACTATCCTTTCTGCTTCATCGTTACGTTAAGTTACACTTTCAGCGACCCTCGTAACAAACATTACATCACAAAAGCTACTCCACCCCTTCTATAAATGATTTCTTGAGATTAAAATTAGTCTGAAACATTAATTTTTGACTATCCATATGTTTGTTTATAGACTTTCAATAATTGAGAATGACTTTCTAATGTAATGAAAAGTTTTAAAATCTGCCAAGTTAAGAAAAAAATTTAAATAAAACTGATGAACTGCGAACATTACATTTACTTAACTCCTCCTTCACCTTGTCATATCTCGTTTCGCTAAGCAATGCCCCCTTCCTCCCCGTTATTTGTGAGCGTATTGTATAATCGACCCCTAATGTACTGATGAAAAACCAATTAACCAGAAAGTTATTCTTTCCTTTTGGTAAGGAAATTCATATTTAAAATAGGTCTAAATAATCAAAAATTATATAAACAAAATTGAAATTAAGTCAGATAGTTTGTAGGAAACAAAGAGGCTGTGACTTAAAAAAGTAATTATAATCCTTATCTATATATTTGGTGTTATTCTATTAACACTCTTAAATGTGTATTTATAGACCAGTTTCGAAAAAAAAATTGCTGATCTTTTCAGGGTCGATGAAGAGCTGTCTCTTGCGTATGGAGCCAAAAAATCACACTCGAAATCCGTTGGGATGGTATTGAAATAGGGGTGGTTTCCTATTTATATTATTCTTGGAAATTTCATTTTCCGGCATGTACACACTAATATTCTCTATTATTTTCCCTTATAAAATTTTATTATAACTTTTATATTTTACGTTCCAGTGTCCATTACAGGTATGAAAAAAATGCCACATTTATTTATTAATAGGTACTAGTTAATATCAAAATTAAACAAATTAATCATAAAGAAAAACAGTAGTGAGTTTTATTAAGTATAAGTAAAACAAAAAAAAAGCATCCCCATTGTGTAAAACCCCGAAGGGGTAATAAATATAAATACTTACAGCATTTCCTTCATATAAATAGACACTGGAGCGTAAAATATAAAAATTATAATGCACAGTTGTAGAGAATATTAGTGTGCACGTCGGAATTTTTTTTTCAAAAAACGAAAATAAATAGGAAACTACCCCGACGGGTTTCAAGTGTGACTTTTTGGCTTGATACTCGGGAGATAGTCCTTCATCCACCCTGAAGAAACAGCCTATTAGTACTTTTTTTGCACCCCTTCTATGACATCATCATGTAGTTTTACTGGACTATTGTTTATTAAAATTAAGCAGATAAATTTTGAAAATCACTTGGAATTTAAATTTATTTAGAGTGTTCTGACTTCAATCGTTTTGGAGTAATTGCGTTGAAATTAGTACAAGAAGATTGGGTCAGCGTGGAGGTACGAGTTCAAGCAGCCTTTATACTGATGTCGAAGAATTAGAGTAATAGATACAGTAGAACCTCGATAAGCTTAAGACCTCTTACTCTTTTAGCAAACTTTACTAATGTTTTTATGTCTAAACCAAGTAAACAACAAGCATTGTTCTAAATTAGGAAATGCAGAAATTCTTCGTTTTTTACATAGAAGATTTTCTTCCGATTAAACCACTTTTCAGTGCTTACTGAGGTGCGATGCCCAAATTATTCGTTTAAGTTATAGAGGGTTTTTATTTTAAGTAATATAGGTTTTGGAGTCCGAGGGGAAGGGAACACAAAATTTTATGAATTTATAGAGGTTATTACGTGATCGAGGTTTAATTTATTAAAATTCTACTGTATAAATATCTGATGCCTCTTCATAAAATAATTAAAAATTAATGTTGTTCTAGGCCAACTGCATCAGACGCTCTAAATGTTACAACTGAAGTTTTCAATGAAATATAATAAGTCAATTTCGAGATCATCATGCGAAACATTACACTGAACCAATGTAATGCGATGGGTAGTTAGAAAGAATAGTGTGGTGCTTCTCAAATAAGAAAATTACCCAATTGTGCTTTTGATCACATATGACATGATAGCTATTCCGAGTCCACTACCAGAAACGATGAAAATTTCAACGAATTCTCGTCGCCTTTTAAAATACTGTGCTACCATTAACGTTGAACAGTCTCTTGTTATCCCAACTCCAATTCCAACCACTGTTCCATAACTGAAACAAAACAGAAGCCATTTCTAGTTTTACATCCCGTAACGTCGTCTCTTTCTTGTCTCTCTTCTTTTTCATTTTTCTGGGTTAACAGTTAACACTCATACGATTGTACAGAGACGAAGAATAAAATACACTGCATTTATTTCATTTATTTACACTGATTTCGATTATAACGTTCTTCTTCTTTTAGTCATTACTTTTCGGCGATTGAATTTTTTTATGACAAACGTAGCTCATGTACATTCTACCAAAGCATCAACTACAAATCGTAATATACGAGGGTGGATTGATAAGTTTCCGGCCTGACCAAGAAAAACAAGGTTTTTAAAATTTTTTTTTTTTTATTTCTCAACATAATCTCCTCCAAGGCTGATACATTTCTCATAGCGGTGTTCCAGTCTATTAATGCCATCTCTATAGACTGATTCGTCAAGCTCCTCAAAATAACCATTTACAGCTTCGATTACTTCTTCATTGTCCGCAAATCTCTTACCGCCAAGCCATTTTTTGAGATTAGGGAACAGAAAATAGTCACTCGGGGCTAGGTCTGGAGAGTAAGGAGGGTGCGGCATCAATTCAAACTTTAGATCGTTGATTTTAGCCGTCGCAACGATTGACGTGTGCGCTGGTGCGTTATCGTGATGAAACAAGATTTTTTTCTTCGCCAGATGAGGTCGTTTAATTTTCACCTCGTGGCTCAAACGTTGCAATAAGTCTGCGTAGTATTGACCAGTGATAGTATTACCCTTTGCAAGGTAATCAATGTATATAATACCTCTTGCATCCCAAAAAACAGTAGCCATAACCTTGTTCGTCGAAAAAATTGTTTTTGCCTTCTTTGGAGTTGGTTTCCCTGGTCCAATCCACTGTTTAGACTGTTCTTTGGTTTCAGGAGTGTAGTGGTGGACCCACGTTTCGTCAACGGTTACGAATCGACGCAAAAATTCGCTTGGATTACGCTTATACAATGACAAATTTGCGGTAGAAATGTTTTTTCGAATCAATTTTTGGTCGACTGTTAGTAAACGCGGCACCCATCTTGCACAGAGCTTTTCCATATGCAAATGTTGGTGCAAAATATGTTGCACACGTTCATATGACATCTTACAGGTCTCAGCTATCTCACGCACTTTCAATCTGCGGTCTCCCAGCACTATTTGATGAATTTTTTCGATCATATCTGGAGTTGTGACCTCAACGGGGCGTCCTGAGCGAGGCCCATCAGAGGTGCTCACACGACCCTTTTTAAACTCGGAAACCCACTGCTTAACGGTTGAATATGACGGGGAGGATGTCCCCAGTGTTGAGTCCATCTCTTTTTTAATTTCCTTCGGCGTTAACCCCTTCAAATAAAAGTATTTGATGACAGCACGATTTTCCTGCTTTTCCATTTTTACGAAAACCACAGAGGCGTCTTGTTCAGCGTGCTGTCAAACCTACACTAGCAAGGAGATCGGGCTGAAACTATAGCTACAAGCTATCCAAGGATGGTACTATAGAATGTCACCTCAAGGTAGGCCTAGTGGCGTCATCTCTTGGTTAGGCCGGAAACTTATCAATCCACCCTCGTATATGTTCCCGGAAATGTATGAAATCTAGGAATTGTATACATTTCCTAGGAATTGTATGAAATTCCGATATTGTACTAGGAAATGTATCAAACTAATGGTTTCTGTGAATAAAATGAATAAAAAACTTTAGTAAACTGAGAATCGGGGTTATTTGTGTTTATGCGCTCCTTGTGTAATCGCCTGATGTATATGCATTAGTGACGTTATTGTATGGTTAGTAGGTAGATTTATGACAGATTGGAGTTTTTTTAATGGCTCTGCCCGCCGGAGCCGGGCTGATGTGTTTGAATAACGTTTTCGAAAAGTATGCTTCATTATGATCTCTGCGCCCAACATATCTATATGAAAATGATCGGCATTATCTGCTCTACAACATTAAAAATACAAGGTCATCGTGTTTGCTGAAACAAAGATAACCTCGTCACATTATTCTAATACCAGTCTATCATAAATCTCCCTAACGAAACAATGACGTTACCTTTGGATAAAGGTACATCTCCAAACAACCTGCCGTATTATTGCCTATTTAGTATTACCTGTAATACATTTCCGATTGCTATTTAGGAAATGCATAGATTTCCTAGGAAATGTGTCTAATATAATTTATTTCATATTTTAGATACATTTCCTAGGAATTGTATACAATGATGGATTTCATACATTTCCGGTAACATACACTAAGAAAATCACTGTAGATAATTTTCGTTAGTAAACCGTGTATAAATTAGAGTAATTTACATTGTCGGTGATAATAGGTAAGGAACTTTTAAAGATCGGTTACAGATTTTTATAAGTGGTCTATAAAAATATGTTTTTAAATTCATTCTTCGTTTGTGACTATTTTCGGTTTTACCGATCTAATTATGGTAGTGCTTTGACATTAAAACCCAAATCTACTTTAAAATTTACCAATTCGGTAGGTACTGCTAGACCAACGACACGTGGCCCTTCAGACTGTAATACCTACAGATGCGCATTGACGACGGAAATTCTGTATTAAGGTAAATGATTTGAATTGAGTTCTTATTACAGTTAAGATATCAGCCCATGTAGGAACTGCCAGAGTTGAGGATCGAGTGAACTTTGATCCAATATTGGGTTGCCAACTTAGGCTGAACGGAGTTCATCCAAGGTTGGACCAAGTTAGGCATACAATTGGTCTACCAAGAATGGGCAGTTTTTATGTCCCAGACCTCGACCAAAGTTGGCTATATTACCTTCGGATGATTAATCTTGGGCCAGCTTACATTGACCGGAGATTTATTTGAATTATATAATATTATTT